TGTGTGTGTGTGTGTGTGTGTGTGTGTGTGTGTGTGTGTGCGCGCGTGTGTGTGTACAGTGGAGTGGGTGCAGCAGCAGCAGCTTCAGTGTGTGGCCAAGTGTGTGTTAAGAAGGTGTGGACAGCCATAAGGATGAAAGTTACGTCCCACCTCCACCCTGCAATTGGTGTTAGAACATCCGTGTGTTTGTGAGTCATATCAAACAAACACACCGTATCTCTCTCTCTCTCTCTCACACACACACACACACACACACACTGTCATCCTCCCTTTCTGTAGCCTACTTTCTGTTTGTTTCCGCCTCACGCTCGGCTCCCAGCTGAGTGCAGCCCCTGTGCTCACTGACTCTGGAGGGCGTGTTCACTCCGTTCACTCCGTTTACTCAGCACACACACACACACACACACACACGCACACAACACACACATCCACCGCACTCAGGACAACTTTTCACAAAACTTTTTCACAGATGGAATTGGCGGATGCTGTTAAGTAAGGTAACGCAATTTTGACTTGTCTTTCATGTTTCTCTCTCTCTCTCTCTCTGTATTTTTAATGTGTGTGTTTGAGGGGAAAGTTTAACCTTTGATCCAAAAGTGGCGACAGGTGTCCTCTCTCTCGCGCTGTTCATGATGAGGGAAGTGCAGCACGAGCCTATTTTCCCCTTATAGAGACTCCATATAAATAATAGCGACCAGGCGTTTGAATAATCGTTCAGAAATATAGCGCTAGATACTAGAGTCGTCAAACTTTGTTTATGAAAAGAACAGCAACTGTTAAATCAGTTTTAAGCAGGAATGAGCAGTTTACAGGAACAATATTATCAGGAGAAAAATATGATGTACTCTCCGTCATCTATTCCTCACTACAATATTATTATTTTCTGTGTTGGGTCAGGTTGTGAGAGCTGTGGTGCTTTCACTGTAGCCTATCATATCCTGTTGAACTCTTAGGAGAATCGTTTTGCGCATGCGTTAAGTGCTCAACGGTAACCAGCCTCGAGGCAGTGGACACACACTCAAACACACACTCAAATACAACCGTTTTAAACTGTAGTGCAGCTGGTTAGCTTTTTACCTACAGAGGTTTTCTGTCCTTTTTTAAAAACATCATCTCAGTATCAGAGCAGGTAATGGCAGCTTTAATAATTAAAATGTATTCTTTAGCCTTTTATTGTAGTTTTGGTAGACAGTCCACAGTAGAGAGCATTTGGTGCAAGCAGAGATGAAAGTCTCAATAGCAGACAGTAATAGCCCAACTGAAACAGCATGTGTCCTCACCCACTGAGGCACCAGAGCTACAGGAGGACACAGGATTTCAAAGTGCACTTGATTCCTAAAACTGTGCAGTAGTTCCCGACCTGGGGTTCAGTTTCCCTCTGATGGGTCTTGAGATGATACACGGGACACGGAAGAACTCAAAAAATATTATGTCTTTCTTTAAACTCAAAAATCATTGAGGACCAAGCCCTCATTTAGAATGACGCTGATCAGATACAAAATAATTAAGATACAAGTTAAAGAAGAACAATCAATTAAAACAAAAATAGAAATACAATTAAAAACAATGTAACAACAAAATAAATCAAATGTTAGGAATTATGGATTTAAAATGACCAAGTTGTACCAACAAATTAATTTTTAAAGTGCTTTTCCAACAGCTCTTCAAAGCTCAGTATGAACTCCAGGGACATGGATTAAACATTTTTTCTGACTTTTTGTTTCATCTTCGCTTGCTTTTTGTGGGAAAACTGGTCTTTTACCTCCTCAGGCCTCTAAATGTATTTAAATGAAACAATCTGAGAAGGGAAAAAAACACTCATGGTGGACCAAATATATATAGAATATACTTTACATGACCACATATGGTCCTCTGAATGAGTCAAAACTAAAAAGATACGAAGTGAAAAAGTTTCTACAAGTTCCTGGAACAATAGCAATATTACACCACTTGGTTTAGTTCCTGATATGTTTTCAAATGTATTACAATGAAATCATAATCTATAGCATGTTTATTTTACTCACTGTCACAATGTTAAACAGTACCATTAGGACACAAATGTAACTAGAGATTAATAGTTTCCATCCGTTTGTTTGAGTACTGTGGTCATGTGTCCTTCCCTCTCAGGGATGGAGGGGGAGCAGGTTGACTCTTCTCTTGACCTGAGCCACCTCACAGACCAGGAGCAGTCCATCATCCTCCAGGTCTTACAACGTGACCTGGAGTTGCGTCGTTGTGATGAAGGACGTGTAAGGTGAGAGGCGATTGTTTCTCCATTCACGTGCCAGTTCCAGTAATGACAGTATTCAGTAATGAGCACTAACACACAGAGGGGTGACAAATTAATTTGAGCTCTAAAAGCAGGTTTCAGGTGGGTTGACATCTGGCAACTCTGAAGGCTTTAGTACAGTATATGATTCACATCTTTTTCATATTCATCAAACCATTCAGAGACCTATTGTGTGTTGTGGATGGGAACGTTGTCATCCTACTCCCATCGGGATAGAAATGTTTCATCACAGGATTAAAGGTGATCACTAAAAGGTGACACGTCACGGTCAATCAGAGAGGATGACAGGATGTTAAATGCAGTAAGGAAGCTTCTGCATTTGTTTTGTTTCTCCACTCTTTGTTTCTCCACCTTTTCCTTTAATTTGTCACCTCCATGTTGTAGTTGTAGGTTGAAATTTTTTTTTACATTTTTGCTGTGTGTTATTGGTTACCTGAAACCTCAGTGGGTGGAGTCAAATAACTACAGTGCTTTTAAATACATGTTGCTCTCCAGGTTTTAAATCTTATCCCGGTTTTGATCTCATTCAGGATATGATATTTACATGGTACATGAGACATCTGGTTTTTCATATCCCAGTGTACATGTTCACTACAATATCCAGGTCTCTGATCATCTGGCAGCAGATGTGTCTTGATCCCTCAACATCTGATCTCAGCCACTTATTTCTGAGGAGAAGCACGGCTTTGTTTCTGGCTGCCTGTTACGTTTGCCACTCTGTGGGATTTAGCTTCTCCATCATCAATAACAGAAAACGAGAGCGACAAGGCAATTTCTGTTTTTGTTTTACCAACTACTACATAACTTGAGTTGATGATGCACCTATGCACAGTGCAGTTAATGATGCCACAGTATCCTAAAGGTTTCTAATAGTCTAAATACCTAGTCTCCTGTTTGTGATGCTTGTTTTGATTAATCTTTAAATTAGGACCTGAAGTAATGACTATTATTTATTATTGATTAATGTATTGATTTTTCTTTTTGTGAGCAGCTTAAAATTAGAGATTGTTTGTCATTTGATTTTTACTAATCATCTAAATGTTTCAGTTCTGCTGTCAGGCAGGTGAATGTATGTATCAAACACCTAGTTAGTTTGCGTGTTAACATGGAGAGGCAAATTTTGAGTTATTACATCATTAGGAAAATTGACGTGTCTTTTACATGCTGACTAAGTTCCATGACACCAGTGACAACAGTGACTGTAAACCCTCTGTTTAGTTTCTGACGTCCACTGACTTTTAAAGACAGGAGGTTGTGATTCTTTGCTGTTTAACTTGGCCCCGTGTCAACGCTACAGGAACCTCCAGCAGTCAGAGACAGACCCGGCACGTCTGCGCTTCCTGTCTGGGGCATGGTTCAGCGAGGAGAGCAGCAAACGCCATCGCAATCGGACATCAGGCTGCGACCTGGTCCATGCCACCATACGCCACAGGAAGACAAAGAGCAGAGGTCAGTTTTCATTTAATGCAATACTACTATCTCTGGCCTGCGGGGCTGCTTTTCTGTTGTTATGGGGATATCCCAATGATGGTTCTGTGGTTGTTGCCATGGTAACAGATGTGCCCCTGGCTGGACTGTTTAATGGAGAGAAACAAGAAACCTTGCATGATGACAACAACTCTCCTGAGGCAGAGGGAAGACTGAAGGACAACAAGGAAGTGGAGAAAGCAGGGTTAGTGAGGGCAGAGAAAAAAATCATATCACTTGTTGCAAGATTTGTGTGAAACTGCATTGCCACTCTGTTATTTGTGTTTTCAGGAGTCAAGGAGGTTTGAAACCTACTCCCACACCCAGAACAAGAAGTCCAGTAGCACAGGTCTGTGTGTGCATGCATGTTTCTCATTTCCAAGCATGAAAGTGTTTTCTGAATAATCATCCAGAAGTTAATAACCCATCTTTAATTCCAGGGTCTCCAGCATAGAAATAGTTCCTCGTCATCCAAAGGTAAGAAAGTTTCTATCTCAGTGCCTCTGTGCCTTTCTAGCGACCTCTTTGTACTAATATTAACTCATCATTCTGCTCATAGAGTGTGAAAGGAGAAGTAATGGCCACTCAGAGGAACCTGAGGTGATTATAAAACACACCAACATTCACAGATTATCAAGACTAATGGTTTTGATAAACACTGCTTTTAACTGGCCACATTCTTTCACACTTTCTATTCAGACCCTGCATCAAGACAGAGTCCATATTGTTAATGATCTAAACATATAAATCAATCACACATTTTCCAGTGGTGGGGTATAATAGGGTAGCTAAAGGACATCATATGAAGGGAGAAGGTACCAACTGATAGATGATCACTGGTGATGCTGCATCTGAAAATCTTGTGTGTGCATGTCTAGGATGACTTTGAGCATCACAATGGAGACACTGACTCAATGAGCAGCAGCCTGACGGAGGCAGACCCAGCTTCTCTGAAAACCAGCAGCTCCACCAGCAGCCTTCATTCAGGCTACACGGTACACACACACACACACACACACACACACACACACACACACACACACACACACACATGCATACGTGCACGCTCACACGCACATTTGATTAATTGGCTATCTGGCAAACGCAAGATGACTCAGCTCAGGACAATGACGTAGGTGCTGATCTTTGTTCTGCGCGTGTGTGTGTGTGTGTGTGTGTGTGTGTGTTGTAGCTCAGTGGAAGCATGATGAGTCTGTTCAGCTCAGGAGATTTTGGACTGGTGGAGGTGAGGGGCCGTATCCAGTTCTCACTGGTTTACGAGACCCAGAGGGAGGAGCTGCAAGTCAAAGTGCATCGCTGCGAGGACATCGCTTCAGCACGCAAGAACCGCTCCGACCCGTAAGTGACAGTGTGTGTGTGTGTGTGTCTGCATCTAAATGTGCATATTGCAGCAACAATGTTACATACAAAACCAATCATATAATGTCTGTGTGCACGTGTTTCACAGATATGTTAAAACCTATCTCTTGCCGGACAAGTCGAGTCACAGTAAGAAGAAAACTTCAGTGAAGAAGAAGACACTCAGCCCAGTCTATGATCAGACACTCCGAGTGAGACACTCTCTCATTTACATATTACACAAAGGCAGCCTTCACATAAATCTCCCATCTGCCATTTGTCCTTCAGTTCTCTCCATGTGTCCTGCAACATGCACTGCAGTCACTTATTTCTCTAGTTTTGAAGATGTTAAATTGTCAAATCTTGTAAATCTTTTTTCTCCACTGACCATATGCCTCCATAAATGTAAGCTCCCATAACACTTTGCCCTGTCCTTCCATCCTGTCACGTGTTAACTGTCTGATTCTGATTATATACTGTCAGTACAAAGTGAGGATCGGGGAACTGCGGAATCGGACCTTGAACCTGTCGGTGTGGCATGCTGAGCCCCTTGGGAGGAACGTGTTCCTGGGTGAGGTGGAGGTGTCTCTGGGCCTTTGGGACTGGACCTCCACTCAGCCGCTGTGGCAGGACCTGCAGCCACGGGTAGGGAAGAGTAGATTTGTGTTGCATGCAAATACACACTCGTGTAGTCACATAAATTAGCATGTGTATTTGAATACTCTCAGACTAATATTTACCAAAACACTATGGTGCTCGCATCTACATTTGTTTAGTATCTGAGTGTCTGTGTAACAGTAGTTTTGGCAGCTTTGTTGAAGACACAGAATACAGGGAGGAGTGTCTCTTGTGTCTGGTAGAGCTGAAGGGAGAGGAAGACATGCTGTGAATATCAACTAAGGTTTTATGTAACCTTAATCTTTTCCTGCTTCCACACTTCTGCTTCCCCCCTCTTTGCTTTTTCCTTCTTTTGTCTTTTCCTCTGCTTCTGTTTTCTATTCTTCATCCCACATCACAGGTTCATTTGAATCCAGACTCCATCAGCAGTCGTGGGACCATCATGCTCTCTATTAAATTCATCCCAGACGGATTTGAGGGTGAGCAGAACACATATATCATGGATGCACATTATGTCTTACCTCAATATCACGATTGCATGACTCTTATACATTTTCTGTGTGTGTGTGTGTGTGTTAAGGTAGTGGTCTGCCACTGACAGGAGAGCTTCACATCTGGCTTCGGGAAGCTCAATGTCTCCTGTCCAACAAAGGAGGTGCTATAGACTCATTTGTTAGAAGGTGTGTCAGCTCTGCATCATATTTTCTGATATTTCTGATTCATTTCTAGTAGTCAGAGAAAGCCCATTCCCCTAAATGCAGCCTTAAAGCACACTCAAGTTAGTGCACGCCCCTATATGCTGTAGAACAATGACCAAAAAATGTTTGAATTCTCATTTAAAACATTTAATCCATCTACCTACAATTTCAGTCTTGAAATTGATCCTGGTTGACTTTGAATTCAACTCACAATCATTCTTAATCATATCATACTTTAAACCCCACAAGCTACATACTCCCAGATGCTAGTAGACAGAGTGGCCAGAAGACACGGGTGGTGAAGCGCTCCATCAGCCCTACGTATAACCACACCATGGTGTATGATGGCTTCCACACCAGCGACCTGAGAGAGGCCTGCGCTGAGCTGAGTGTCTGGCAACGTGAAGGGTTAAAGACACACATCTTAGGAGGGATTCGTCTGAGCTGTGGAACTGGTGAGAATCTCTGCGCTTTATATTCACATTAAAAAGACAAAGATGTTTCCAGTACTTAGTTCTTATCAAGGGGATAGACAGAGTCGCCTTCACCAAGGCTTCACATCCTGACATATTCTTGTTTTGATTTGGTGATGTCATATTCAGTATAAACTGTGGTTTCTTGTTTGTGTTGCAAGCAAATACCTGATTTTGCATTTCCATAAATATAAAATGCATCATGTCTTGTACAGCTTAGTACTTTTCTCAGGAGCTTACAGGCATTTAGAAGATCATACTATACTGAAAAGTAGGAACCCCGTTTTAGAACACTGAGGGTTGACAAAGGTGCCACACCAATACAGGAGCTTTTTATCAATAACTTGCCTGTCTTTGTGTTTTGCTGCCGTCATTATACATGTGCAACAGTGAAAAATGGTAAGACTGGTCGCTTGCAGAGGCTGCATCCTGTTTCAGTGGAAGCCCTTTGTGACAGATAATATTGTAGGCAAGTTAGGAAGGGAACCAATGCTCCTGCCTTTACTTTGGTCTGAAAGTAGCCTTCCAAGCTTCATCTACAGTGGTGTTTAGCAGTGGTATGGTGACAGTATTTTAGTCCAGTACTTGACGTTGTATTTCATTCTGTTGGCATTTCAGGCATTTCATAGAGTCATGCTATCAGAGCGAGGTCATTTCTAGGTGACGCCTGGTGCATTGCTGAACATCCCATATTGGGTTGTTGGGGGTTTAAATCTTCCACATAGACCGCAGGATGGGTTGAAGCTGGTGTCGCTATTGAACTTGTATCGTTAATTTAGTTGTTGTGAAGTAGTTCACCTTGATATTGACAGTGTTGTTATGCTCATAGCGGGTGTTGCTGTTCTTAATAAAGAGTGTGCAGCACTGTAGATCAAACCACTGATAGAGCAACATTCTCATCTTATGTCTCATTGTGGGTTTCCTGAAGGGAGATGATGTCAGTAGATTGGTGTGTGTGGGTTGCAGCGAGGATTCCTGTGGTAATGTCTTCATCATCAATAATGAATAATGTGTTGTTTTTGGTTTTTTAATGGCAGGTCAGAGTTATGGTGAGTCTGTCAGCTGGATGGACTCTACAGAGGAGGAGGTCGCTGTGTGGACCTCAATGATTGAAAACCCAAACCACTGGATTGACATGACACTACCAATCAGAACTAACCTCAACCCCCGGTCTGAGTGACTCAGACACACTTCATGCACAAACACACACTGATTCAAATAATGACTGGACTGAAAGAACACTCAGCACATAGGCACATTTAACCTCTCTATACACAGATACACTGTTTATTTCTGTTCGTACACACAAACACACACAGAGGGAGTTAGTAGTGGTGCAATATTGTGAATTAATGGTGTAGAAATATTTAGTTCTGAAACCAAATCTGTCTGCTTTTCAAATGTTTTATTTGTATGTTTTGGCCTCAGTCTGTGTCTTATCTGACAAAAGTGCATTTGTAATCCATTGTAGTTTATTAATTAAATATCAAACCCGAACTTATGTAGCCTTCTGATTTACTTACTGATGTTACATCAAGGAGACAATTATAGAGACATAACTGAATAAGCACAAATTTTATGAAATGAAAATTGTATATCAGTATATCAGAGAAATAGGACAATCACTTTCACCATGCAAAACACAAATTCTGATAATATAGATTTTTAGGGGACATTACTGTAATTGGATAGGTTAGAAATAGCCTGCAGTTACATGCATTCAGCTTTCCCATGTAATGGATTAACTGACTACCACCTTGTGGTCAGACTTTGTACCTATTCTTTGGACTTTTCAGAGGGGACAGTGAAGGTTAAGGTCAAGAACACAGTGTCATGTAATTTGTCCTCACTTTTTTCATCAAAACAAACTGTTATACAACAGGTATCCATCTTCCCTTTTACACACCAATGGACAGTGGAGGAAGGCCTTTATCATATGTGCCATACCTCCTGTCCAGCAGGTGGCATTCTTAACATTCCTGATTCAAGCTGAAATCTCAGCGGAAGTGGCACTATTTGGCTTCCAAAATGAAGTATCAAGAAAGGTATGTATGTTTTGTATCTTAACCCTTTGTAATTTGTGTATCTCTTAAAATATGAGGTCACATCCATTGCGTCTTTTTTGATGACTTGACAAGCTCCATTTCTGTGCTGTGTTTATTTAAGGTAATGCCCATTGAAAATTATGTGAGATACTCTGAATGTATTACCTATATGATTCAGCCTTGAGTCATTTTGCCAAGATCTGTATGTTTTGTCATGAACACTAATCGCCTCGAGCAAAAAAAACAAAAACAAATAAATGGCAATGATGAATTTGGTGCCTTTACAATCCCTCGAGGTCCAATTAGCTGTCGCCTACTTTAACAGTTACGTTTTGTGTACTTGTACTTTTATTTTGAAGGTTTTAGCCGGATTTAGGGACCTTATATTTTGTATCCTGCTTGGCACAGCGACACCAATGGACTGTGTATTTTAAGTGAGAGTTGATTAGTGTATAAAATGTCTCGGATGCAGCTGCTGAAGCAGTTCATCGGTGAGCGGCTGAGTGCGGCAGCAGAGGAGATCTTCACAGCGGTGCAGAAGACGATAATAGAGTGCGAAGAGGAAGCTGCTCGCTCCAAAGGAGACGACGACCAACATGGACTTAAACAAGAAGTGCCGTTACATAGCGAAGGTTTGTTTGTTTGTGTTGGCGGCGGCTTGGGGCTTTAGAATACAAATTTAGAATAAAAATATTAGGGGGTGTTGAATTGGAAGGAAGTGGAACCCGCTCCCTCCCTGTGCTTGAGGCTGGATTCGCCGTTACTAGCATAACACACCTTGAACCTCTAGACCAAACTGTCAGAGGTAGGCATTGTGGGTAATGTAGGCGCCATGTTTTAGACAAGACAGAAGCAAGTAAAGGATAAAAAAACGGTAAAGTTCTGCGGTATAAATGTGTTTCTCGAAACCATATGTGTGACGCAATGCAAGGGCAGATATAGCTGACAAAGAGGCCCCACAAACCATAACTTATTTATTAATCAAACATGATTATTGAGACTTAATTATTAGGCTGCATATCCTTATAATTTGCAGATTATGGTTGCACTCATGCACATACCATTCTTCAGTTTCTTTTAGCAGATCTCAAAAACACTAATTTCTTACCTTAAAAGTTTTATCCAGAGCCACACAGTAATGATGTACTGCTCAAAGATATTGAAGCCCTATGATCATTGATGCCAGTAAGAAGTGCCCTTTCTGCTCTGGGGCTCCTGACAGCAGCTCATCTGGGTGTGCTTCCAGTGAGTATGACCTGTCCATGCTGCTACCAACGACTGACTAGCCAAATATTCTCTCATCTTAAATGAAGGTAAACTGTTATCTAGGTAAAAAACAAAAAAAACAAAACAAAAAAAAACTGGGCAAACTGAGTTCAAGCAAATTTCTCACCTTTTCCTCTTAACAGACCCACCGCAGGTCTTTGTCTGTGCACATGAGCAGAAACACTCCAGGGAGGAGTGGAATCCTGAGAGCTGCCACAACAGCCCTACTGTTGGCTACAAGGACTGTGGCCTGCTGGTCCTGAAGCCTCCAGAAATCAAACAGGAAGAGCAAGAGCCATGGATCAGTCCAGGGAGACAACAGCTATCGGATATGGAGGACTCCGAAGCTAGCAGTTTGAAACTGACTTCCACCTGTATGAAGAGTTGCATTTACTCAGATGTGAGTGAGTTGCAAACTCATTATACAGGGAATGAAGACAGAAAGCCTGTACCTAGCTCCTCAGCAGACCACAGAAAGGTTGAGGGAAACTCTTTGTCAAGTGGTGAATGTTGGACTTTTCTGCCAGGTTGTGCTGTAACTCTAAATAACACTGGGCCTGAGTTGAGTTTAGAAACACTGACAGGCTACAGTATCAGTAAAGACATGAAAGTCCACATGCAGAACCACACAGGGGAAATCCAGCTGACTGAAAGTTCTGAACCACATAGCCCAACTCCACCAAATAAAGAGACAAAGAGAAGAAACAAATCCTATTGCTGTCGTTTCTGTGGCAAAGGATTCAGCCACAGTGCACATCTAGCTACACACACTCAAATCCACACAGGGGAGAAACTATTCAGCTGTGAAGTGTGTGGTAAAGAGTTTCGACATGGCAACAGCGTGACTGTGCACATGAGGATTCACACGGAGGAGAAGCCGTACCATTGCAGGATTTGTGGAAAAGAGTTCCGTCATGTGGGAAACTTGAATGTACATATGAGAATCCATACAGGCGAGAAACCATACAGCTGCAAAGTGTGTGGAAAAAAGTTCAGTCGAAATAATTTAATGACAAAACACATGGCTGTACATACAGGTGACATGAGTTCAAGCACGAGGAGTGTGTTAAGAGGTTCTGTCAGCCTGACTTTATAAGATTTTAGGACTGCTGTCATAAGATATCCAAGTTTTTTGGGTAAAAAAATGAAGCTGCCATTATAGAATGGTTGCAGATTTAAGAGAAAAAGCACATGAAGTGTTACAGTTAAAAGTAATGATTCATTTTAGATAGATAGATAGATAGATAGATACTTTATTTATCCCCTAGGGGAAATTCATTTTAATACCTTTTTGTAAGTTATTGTAAATAAATTATGGGTTAGCGTAAAATGATATTTCCATATGTACAATCCTGACATTTAATACATTTCAAGTGGTAAATGTATTTCAGTGTGTAGTGTCTCTTCACGTCATCTGACTGGTGATGCAGAGTTTTAAATAGCTTAAAAGTCATCCTAAGTGCCTGGTTCCTGTAGCTGATTAGACCTTGTTAATAAACTCTTAAACTCCAACTTTAATTTTGATTCTGAATGTAGTTTATATTGTGTAAACTGGCATTGTTGAAGCTGCCATATTTTCTCTCACAAATGAGTAGCTGAGGCAAACACGCATTTTTGACCTGTGCTTCACATTTTAAACAGCTGACTCAAATGAACTGACTTACAGTGAAGAGATGGCTTGAAAGGTTTGAGAGTAACCGTAAAGAGGAAATTACAATGGTGGAATCAAAACCATTAGGAGTAAGTACAGAAAAGAAATAAATTAAGTTTTTGATTTGAGATTAAACAAGCCTATAAAGGAAGAAATTATAGGCATGTGCAAAATGAATGCCTCACTGGTTGATTTCTAACCATGCACTTGATACATATTCTGGAAACGATTTTATTGGTCATTTTAAAACTAAATATGTGCATTCTCAGCATTTCCTTAAGCCCCGTGTATATCAAGCTAGCTCTTCAGTGGTCAGTCATTCTGGAAAGACAGGCAGGGGAACAACAGTGTTCATGTCTCAGCTTTTCTTTCTACTGCCATTCTTAAAATAAAATAGGGGAGAGAAAGCACGAACATAAAGCAAAGCTAACGTATTTTACAAACAGGCGTGTATATACATTGTAAAAAAAAAAGAAAGAAAGAAAGAAAGAAAAAAGCTGCATTGCCGCCGGAAAAATTAAGCCAGTGTAAGGACGTCCCTACAAAAAATTCCTCTTAACCAGCAAATCGAAAGCATTTCCCCCTGCTTTATGTGAGCGCTGTTATCACGGTTCTTTTCATGCAGTTGTACCAGCTTGAATACTACGTGGTTGCCATGGCGACGGGTTGTCAACATCGCCCCTGTCGGAGGACCTGTACTCATCCTGCCCGGCGTCCTGCCTCAAAAAATGTCAGAAATGTCTGCTATGAACAGAAAGTTAAAACAGACTGTCGCTGAAACAATCTCTAAACAAGTGGAGCACTGTGAGTACTCAGTTAAAACTTATCTTGTCTAAGTATCCAATGATAAAACTAAGCTAGTTTGTTGTGTCAGTAGGTGCGTTCTAAATCCATTTGTTTTAATGAACTACAATAAAAATGAAAAATGTCATATAGAGCGTGAAAAGTCAGTCATTGCTCCTATGATCCTAGTCAATAAAACAGAGATTGAGTGCCTTATCCGAGAGTTCACTGTACTCCTGGGGGAGCCTGCTGCTCCGGGGAGAGCAGTCACCGGCCTGGACAGAGCGAAGTTCAGGAGCATCCTGCACAACGTCTTTGGGATGACCGATGACATGATCATGGACGGAGGTATTCTGTCTACTGACAATTATATTTGAGGAAAAATTTGGATTTGAATAAGTGTGTAAAATGAGAAATATTTCATACTTGGAAGGATAAAAAATAAGATTCATGTGACACTTTATTTTACAGGTCCGTTATTTTCTTTTAATTGTTGAGTTTCTTGGAAAGAACTATATAGTTTGTCTCTATTGTTCTAAGTAGCCTAATTAGATATTAGATGAATATTGTTATTTTTATTAGTTATTTTACTCAGTTCTATTAGTTGTGTTGAGTTTGTTATTGACTTCCAGATGCATTTCCATGAAAGAATTTGCTCAAGTTAAACACCAGCAAACATTTATTACTCATTTATTTATTGTTGGAAACTTTATTCTTCATGTATGCTGATTTGATTGTTAGGAGACACACTTCACATATTCAGCTTATCTGCTTTTATCCAAATAAAAGACTCAAGGTTGTGCTAGAAAAAGTGTACCAACTGACCATGCTCTATTTTACCTGTAGTTAGTACCAAATTATGTGGGTCTTTCCAGGAAACGTTTTAGATTGTATGGAACTGAATTGGAATTTACGGATTCATAAGTAACTTGCGGCAGTTTGATAGTATTGTAACTGGGCATGTTCTTAGAATTGTCACTGATTATCTGTCCTACAGTATTCAGGACATTTGACAACGATAATGACGGTTTTGTGGGTATAAAAGAGTGGATTGAAGGACTGTCTGTTTTCCTTCGAGGGACCTTGGATGAAAAAATAAAATGTGAGCTCTCAGTTTAACGTTCAGTGCTTAGCTTTACTCTCCCACACATAAAAATCAGAGTTACAAGTTATTATGCGAGTAATAACTCTTCCATTTTTGCATGGCTCAGACTGCTTTCATGTGTACGACTTGAATGGTGACAATTACATCTCAAGGGAGGAGATGTTTCACATGCTGAAGAACAGCCTCATCAGACAGCCCACAGAAGAGGACCCAGATGAAGGAATCAAAGACCTGGTGGAGATCACACTAAAGAAGATGGTAAGGTTATAGTTGCAGCTCAAACAGCTGTTGAGTTACTTCTACATACGCTCTCTGTGCAACTTCCTCAAATCTGAAAAACTAGCATCATGTGTTACTGTTTCAGAGGGCAATGACATCTTTATAAAATAGAAGTTGACCACAAGCCTATTGCCAATATTGTTTCCATTCACAGGACCATGACCATGATGGCAGGCTGTCTTTTGGTGACTTTGAAAAGGCAGTGAGAGAGGAGAACCTATTACTTGAAGCTTTTGGAACCTGCCTCCCTGACACCACGGTAATCACAAATTATAGGGTTGATGAGAAATGTAATACATTTTTAAACTAGAACTTCTTAATCTTACATTCTGTTTTTCTTCCTTCTCAGAGTATTGAGATATTTGAGCAGCGTGTATTTCAGGAACAACTGGAACCATGAAGAAATCATGTTCATGTGCATTTTCAGCTGTGCCTTCTTTCATTCAAAAGTTCATAACTGTTTACACTGTGATGCAAATGTCTAAATAAAAACAAGTTGCCATGAGAAACTGAGCTGGTGTGATCAAATCCGACGACGTGGTTTCATCTTTTTCTCCACTGGTTTGACGTCAGGAACTGCTTCCACCTGATAAAAAATGATGACAGTGATTTTACTGGCATAAATTATGACATCTAGACTGCAGGCAAAACTTAATTTTGTTCTGAATTGCTACAACCAAATCAGATCGTAGGTTACCTGTTTCATTGCATTCCGGATAAGGCTGACAGTTGTGTTCAATGATTCATCATCCATGTCCAGTTTAGGTGGTTCAGGTAACTTTGGCCCAATCAAAGGCTCATTTTTTCCAGAAACAGTCAGTGAGTGCTCTGCTGCCTCTTCCATTTTGCGTTTCCTGTTCTCTAAGTGTGTGGTCCTCGGGACAAATCTGACTGCAGGAGCCTGATTTGGAGTCAGTCTATGTTCTGTGCCTCTTTCTCTCTCTGAAGAGGTTTGACTAAAGCTTAAACTCTGCACTGGCTGCTGTTTTGTGCAGATTGTGGCATTATGCAATGTCCCCATTTTGTCTTCTGTTGGTATAGTCCCATATTGATTTTTATATCCATGGTAATAATGTTCCTGGGGAGGTAATGGCAATAAAGGAAAGCTTGAATAATGGCTAATGTTTGAAGTCTCCCCTGTATCATCATTGTTAGGCATTTGATCATGTCTGGATATGATCTTCTCTGCTGTGTTTGATGTTGTGGGCTCTTCATTTGCTGCCTCCTGTTCCTTTTCTCTTGCTTCGAGACAATAAAATTAAAAACTTAGTATCAACCAACTGAACAATTGAAAAACAATTTTGTGTCTTCAGGACTAGGATATAAAAACCAACAAAACATAGGAACATCAGAGGTGTATTGGTACCTTTATTCTGGGCAGCCCTCATTATGTATCTCCTCCGGTCCTGCAGTTTTAGCCTGGTGTCTTCCACAGTCTCATATTCTGGGACGTAGCACACATGCAGCACACCACCATAGAAACTCTTTTCATCAATGTGTCGCTTGGCTGCTCTGTAACAGACATTTTTGAGAAAAATGTTTTTAGCAGGTCTTTTCAACTTTGCCAGTGAAGTGTAATGAAGAGGGTCAGTCAGATCCTGAACCTGGCACTTGTGAGTTTCTGGAACTTGACAAGGTAGACCTCTGTGAAATCCTCAGCAGGATACTCATCCAGGGGCCTGTACTCCTCCACAACTCCGTACAGGGCACACAGCTGGATCAGCTCTGTCATCACTCCAATGGCTGGGACCCCTTGGACCATCAGGTAACGGGACTCTAAATTGATGGTGTACACCTGTCGATAATGCACAAGACAAATATGCACAAACACTTCCGCAACACTTATTAAGGTGCAGTGGGAGCAAATCAACAAACTGTAGTATGCTAATGATAACGGTTGGCAGGATGATAATGATAAGTCTGTAAATACATTGATTATTTGTATTGTCTTTTTATTTTAAGTGACGTTTACCCTAAAGCTTGACTGTCTCATAGCTTGTGTTGTCATTGTGTTTTCCTTGCTGATATTTAGTAGATAGGACCATTTTCTTACCTTAACCGCTTTTGCTTTCCTTCCCTCCCTATACTTTGGCCTAGAAATGCATACTTTTCGCTGTTCATGGTGTTTATAAACCTCTGGGACGCCCCAACAGCCCGAACTGTTGCCGACAGGCGCCGCCATGTTTCTGGAAATAAGTTTCCAGTTGGCACACTTCAAAATAAGAGCACATTCTTTCTCGCTTGCATTTGTTTTGTGGCGTCTCCATGTATACTATCTTATTTTGAAAAGTAGTGTAGCTCAACATCAGCTGCTTTGGTCTAGCTGGACACAGCCAGATCACATCGATTGACTGAACTTTTGCACATTTAACGTTAGCTGACCAACCTGCCTGGTAATTACAGAACTAGCCAGGCAATGTGGAAATTATGTTTAACAATCAGGGCATTCAACCTGTAACTATTGTTTTCAACAACACAAAAAACTGCTTTCTTCACCTCCCCTCGAGGCTGATATCGCATCTTTCCCTGAATGAGGTAAATTAGCTTAAAGCTAGCTATCCAGTTGTCAATATAATCAGTCTGTCATCAGTAGAAATTTGCTGAAATAACCTTCAAGCAAAATGTTAACCTGTTAACAAAAACATTGTATAGTGCGTCTGTTATTCATTTCCTTTCTTTTACACGGATTTAACGTTGTTGTCAGTTTCGGATACCTTCTACTCACAATTATCCCCTTTGTGTGCACATGGGGGGTTAAGTGTTGTCAGCAGTAGCAAATTCATGTGCTCTCTGTTCGGGGTTAATAACAATTCAGCCGATAGTAACGAATAAAAAATATCGTTACTGTCTTCTGAAGGTACCAGTTGTATGGTAGTTCGTATCTTCACTGTTGGTTTCCATTTCGACAACCATTTTTGTAGTTGTTCTCTTGCAGTCTCACTTGGTGGTGACAAAACATTACATTAGAAATGGAGCAGGAGACGGGGTGAATGCTAATGCATTCTTATGAATTACTGCACTGTCTTGTAATCTGTTTTGTTATGGTCATTAGCATCTTTATAAACATATAAAGAACCCTATCTTTCAGATGACAGTTGTGTGATATCATTTGAAGGAATGAAATAGTTCCCATGCTATTTGTACATTATTTTCATTTTCTCCCTTTCTTTTTGGCTGATTGGTCAGAGAAATTATTGGCTCAACCCTCCTCTCCTCCAGTTTGACATCTTTACGCAGAAATCAAACTTGCATTAGCTCTGTCATTGATTGCTTTAATTGAACTACAGAAAAAAAAGTGCCTTGTCTGTTTTTCAGAACCAAGCTTTGGAGTTGTCCTGGGGCCATGGGTCTCCACTGTTCCTCAGTTGGACTCAAAACAGAAGCTCCTCTAGCTTTGACAGCCATAAAGTGGAGCTATGTCGGCAACTTGGAGAAAAGCTGGGACTGAAAGATGGAGAGCAGGTAGGCCTCTACTGTGAGGATTTTTTTCTCTCACATGAATTATTTGTTATCTCTATAAGACACATCCTGAAAATCCTTTGATGGTTTAAAGTAATTGTCAGTTAGTGTTTATGCTTACAGGGTGTTTGTATTGACCTGACTGGTTGTGTGGTTTCCCTCAGGGCTTCCTGAGACCATGCCACCAGGTGTCATCAGTGCATCAAGTGTTTGTGGAGCCTCTGTCATCTGATGACTGGGAGATCCTGGTGGGTGAACATAGTGACTTTGAGTAATGTGGAACCTAATGTCTACATACAATATACATTACATTTAAATACACTCTCTAATTACCGTGAGAAGACCTGTCAGGGACAGGATTGTGACCCAAAATCACTTTTAAGAAGTATTAATTTATCATTGGTTTCCTCTGATTGACACCTCCAGGAGCTTCACAGCGCTGCACTGGAGCAGCAGCTGTTAGATCAGATCAGAGTGGTGTTCCAAGATGCCATATTTCCTGTGTGGGTGGACAGCCACATGGCCATCTACATCCGAATAGGTCAGAGTTAATACAATAATTATGATCTTTTTTTATCAGTCGCAGTCAGTCAGTTAATGCACTATGACTTATCCAAAACTGGGAAATTCATGAGATGAAACATAAGCTTTGATAACTTTATGACCAAAAATTAACTTTTTATCATGTAATAATCCTAAAATATTGCAGGTCTGTGGTTTCAGAGAGGGAAGTTTACTTAAGAAAGCATTGGTCTTGGTCATATCCATAAATAATATTCATGAACACAGTTTGATCTGTCTCTTACTCTGTGCAGCGTCACTTTCGCCATCTGTGCCCTATGGTCGCTTGGAACAGTTCACAGAACTAGTTGTCTCTCCGAAGAGCCGTTCTGGAATTGGTGACCTCAGTGGTTCTCCGGTGAGGAGCAGCGAGAAGCAGCATCTTCACAGAGAGAAAATCCCTGATCTCTCCTCCTCCGTGGGACAGTCGTTAGAAAATACTCCTCATGTCCCTCAAAGCCACCAGTGGGGTGGTATAGCTGACCTGAGGAGCCTCCTACGTTACATGATAAAAGGCACTTATGACCCCATTAAAGAGCTACCACCAGTCCCTGGCATCCCTGCCCTCCTCACTGACTCTACCTACAGAGTGAGCGGTGTGCCTCCTGACTCTCTTTGCACCATAAGCCACGTTGCAACTGGGGTTATTCATTTATTTCCTTGGAGGCAGGGACTAAATGCTGGACTAATTGGAGGCCAGTCTCCAGTGACATATGGCCTACTCTCCAAAGTTCCTTCACCTAAAGAAACAAGGGACAAAGCCAAGCAGGCCATGGACAAACGGAAGAACACAGGAGTTACTAAAGTTGCTGCTTCTGTGGATGGAGGTGAAAAGATGAAAGAAGAGGAGGTCATGGTGGTCAGGGTGGTGTGCCATTGTATTGAGAAGCTAGCAGGCAAACAAAGGAGTCCCAACAAGGGAGAAATCCATAGTGGACGAGTATGGGTAAGTATGCTTTTCAACAGAATAATAGTTGGTCCATTTTGATTTGAGTTCAGTGCTTTGCTGTTATGTAAACTTTCTTACAAAAATTATGATTTTTTTTTTTTCAGATCCCACAGCCCCTGCCCGTCAGGTTGAATATCGTCCCACATTCAACAGTTAGAATAAAGCCAGTGAAATCAACTATCAAAGTGGCCTCCATTATTCGTCTCAAGCCTCTGAAACCACTGGTGAGTGCTGGAGAAGCCATCTGAAGCTACAGTGTGGTGTGCATCATCAAGTATCAACACGTTTCGTTTGTTCAAAGCTGAATAAAATTGAATTCACCCTTTTCCCTTATGTCTGTGTGAACTCTGACATTTTCTCTTCAGACTGAGGAGGACGATGGGGAGATCCAGACAGCTTTCCTTGGTTGGCTGCACACTCAGAGTCATGAACCTTTAGCCTGTCTGACTCCACGGTCTGGCACCGTCCTCCTACATGGAACTGATGGTGATTCATTTCTACACTTTTTTTTTTTTTTTTTTTTTACAAGCTTGTCAGTAATATATTTATAAATCATCTACAGACAAATCTGCAGATGATTATGTGATAAAATTCCCAAAATGTTAGCTATCAAAGAGGCTAAAATCATAATGCACCATTAAAATTACAGTACTTTCAGCTGCAATAAAATGTTTCTGTTCTCTTTTTTCTCATGTAAAGCAAAGTTAGAGTTTGCTTTAACTGTGCTGAAACCAGAACCAGCGAATGATCCTCCAGACCAGCTGTTTCTATTAGCGCACACTATAATCCGGAAGGAAGACATACAGGTATGAACATGCACATATTGTGTTCGGTTCATCAATATGCCAATACAATTTCCACAAAAACAGATCACTTAATGCAGATGACAAAAAATATGTATTTTTAAAAGTCTCAGTGGTGTTGTTCACAGTTGTCACTGTGTGTCACCTTCAGGTAGACAGAGAGTCAGTAACCACGCCAGCTGTGAAAGCTGTAGCTAAAACACCCAACCCAGAGCTTCCCTCCCTCAGCATTCTTGGGTAAGTATGTAGCTATTTCTGAGCCTTTGCATAATTTTAAACAAGGATATATTTCTGCTTTAATTTCTCTCTATATCTCTCACTCCTTCATCTCTCTCCAGTGGGATCAATGATCTCAGCAGGACTGGATTTGAGTTCATCTCCAACAGCCTTCTGGCTAGTCCCCTCTCGAGAGAGCTCTGTAAGACTGGACAGGGGCTCCAAGGAGGAGCTCTACTCATCACTGGTGCTAAGGTGTTTCCTTAAATAACAATAATGAAATCTTTAAATATTGCTGCCTACAACACAAATATTTTTTACATTTTACAGAGTAAATTCAAGTCTACTGTGATTTTTAAGAACCGACATTTACAGTTTCCTAAAGTATGTGACGTTGTTACTTTTTTTCCTCACAGGGGAGTGGAAAGAGCACTCTGTCCCGAGCCCTCTGCAGGAAAGCTAGAGAGGATTTGGATGCACATGTGGAGGTGGTGGACTGCAGAAAGCTACAAGGTCAACAATTACTCCATACCCACACTTAATGATAGCCTGACTGGTTAGAAAACTTGGCTTTATTTATCAGAAACCATCATGAACTAACAAATTTATTTTTAGGCAAAAGGGCAGAAACTGTGAGACAGATGCTGCAGGATATTTTTGAACAGGCAGAGTGGAGGCAGCCTTCAGTTGTTCTTCTCGATGACTTGGATCATGTGACAGGGGCACCATCCTCACCTGAACATGAGCAGGGTCCCGAGGCGCTGCTGCAACAGCACATTGCACAGAGTAAACCATACATTTTTTTATTTGTATGTGTATGTGTTTTTTTTTGTTTTTTTTGTCAGAATATATGATTACAGACAGTATTGGTAATTATTTCTTGCCTTGATGTTAATTCTTCCAGTCTCTTTGTGACTGCAGGTCTGAAGGATGCGGTGGATGAGGTGGTGGTTCACTCCAGCCTGGTGTGTCTGATCATCACCAGCCAGAGTGAGCACTCTCTCCACCCCTCGCTGACTGAAGTGCAGGGGTCCCACTTCATCCAGGGATTTGTAAACATCCAGCCACCAGACCAGGTTATCCCACAAATAAAAACACACAGACACATCAGCAAATGTAAAAAAAGTACAAAATCAGTACAACAGTTTGTGTGTTATTGTTTGCAGGCCCAGAGAGCAGAGATCCTGCGCCGTCT